TTTAGGTTCATTTTGTAGTTTTTAGTACAAACCGAACACACCCTAGGTTCAATTAGGGTTTTCAACCCTCTCTTTTGTACCTCGACATTCTCTTCCTAGTCTAACTTCTTTCACCTCACCAAAACCTCTCGCCATCCATGGCTTCTCTAACTTCAACAGCCTGCCCCCACCTCAGCCAAAAAGGAGACACCGGCTGTATACTTGATGACACCTTGTTCAGGAAGTTGTTTCCATGAGATGCAAAAGGATTCCTTTTGTTGCGTAAGGACTAACTGTATATATCTCCGTTTTGTAGGTTATGGGTGGCAGAAATTTCGTTTCACATTTCCAGCTTGTATTGCAAAACACGCGTTCAGCAGGATTCAAATCTGCGCGGGCATAGCCCAACAGATTTCGAGTCTGTCCTGTTAACCACTCCGACATGAACGCGACGTATAAGGTTTTTATGTAATATTTTATGTTGTAAAGTTTTTTGTATATTTTTGTCACCCTCGAAACTTTTCTACATGAAGGGACTTGAACTCTCAAGAATGTTCCCTCGCTATTATCGGGAATATTCTCCCCGCTTCTAGATTCGGTTTGTGCATCCCTCACTATAGTCGTCTCCAAAGGCTGAATTCTACTTTTTCGAGCTCTCCTCTCAAATATCCAACAGAGCACTCGTATCTTGATAGTATTCGTTCCTTGATCTTTCCCTTATCCGCCCAAAGAGATCCCACCTACTCCCTCACACGTCTTGCTCGATTTGACGTCCCGTGCGTTTCGAATCCCCGATTAACGCGCTTGCGCTCGCTCTTCTCCGGATCGTAAACGCCTTAGTCGGCAATTGTCTACTTGCTATTGCTTATCGTGTTTCTCCACGATCTCCCAAATCAAACGATATGCGCAGCTCTGCTTGAAGTTGTGAGTACACACTTGAGCAATTTTCAGAATCTCAATGTTATGATTTCCAGAATGAGTACAAGCAGTTTTATAGTCAGGCAAGACACAAAATGCGATTCGTAACTTCACTTGTTTTTTAAGCAATCTCGCGCGCGCCTCGTTTCACCCCGAGTCATACATACAACCGAACCGAATTTACCGAACACTCCTTGAGCCCCAATCTGGAAATTTCTCGAACACGCCTTGGTCTCGAACCACATTTTCCCCCGTCAATCTCATTCTCGATGCTTCTCCTTCTCTCTCCTTCTAGCACATTTCTTCCCGATTTCTCTCTCGCTTCTCATGCTGTAGCTTCCATTCTGCACCGTAGGCCGATTTCCACCGTTTCACCTAGAATCATCCACGCGCTTCCATTTCGTCGTCATCCCGCCGTCGTAGAGACTTTCGCCGTAGGTTCCGTGGTTGGGCGAACCAACCCTAACAATCTCCCCTGTGGTTCGTCAACCACGAACTCCACTCGCACTCCTCCCCTGCTCCTTGTAGCCTTCACAGGGTCTAAATCGGCTTCACGCTCCCCTGCAGCTCCTGCACCTTGAATCTCTGCTTACGTGTCTTGAAGTTGAGCGCCTTGACATCCAAACCTTGACATATTTTCTTAGGCCCCTCACTTCTCCTCGTCATCTTAACACCCAATTTCTCTCGGGTCTCGTACCCCTCAACGTGTTCTTCTTTCATAAGCACTCGCCCTTTTGCAGTTGCTTTCACCTTTGATCCCTTCACCCTGATGTCCCCTTTCACAGCTTCAAATCCCACATACTTCGCATTTAGTGCTTCGTCTTCAACCACGATCACTGCTGCAAAAGTATTTCACCATCTCCATCTCCACCGTTCACAGCTGCTGCCTCCATGGTGACTATCTCCTCTTCCTGCTTCACTGCTGACTCCACACTTGTTGCTATATCATCCGTGTCCTCACTCTCATCAACCTTAGTCGATAACTCCTCCAATTCTCCCATCTCAGCGTACCCACGGTCCTCACAGAACTCATCCTTATCGTCATCGCAATCAAGTTCATCTGATAGAACCCGTCACTGAAATAACCATCCGCATACTTCTCCCACTCAGGACCAAACACTACCTTGCCACTGTCATAGAATATCTTGCACCCCAAGTCATCAAGCTGTGATTGACTCATCAAGTTCACCTTCAAATCCTCAACCAATAACACACTCTCCAGTTTCACCTCTCCATACGGACTCTGCAGCACCACGTCACCTTCTCATGTTACTAGTAACGTCCCACTGTTACCTTGCAGTATATGACGGTCACTCGACTCTCTCACGTTCTCCATCCATTCTGACCTGAATGTCATGTGACGCGTGCATCCGCCGTCCATGTACCATGCCGTCTTCTCACGTTCATCCGACTGCCGAACATCCTGCGGTAAACGTACCACGTTCGCAAGATGCGCTCCTCCCAAAATCACATCCTCCTTTTCCGCTTCCGCTACATTCGCCTTTGCCGCCACATTCCTCTGCTGCGACGGACCCTTGTAGCTTTTGCTGTTCGGATTGGAGTAGCATTCTGCGGCACGATGTCCGTAGCGACCACAGTAGTCACACTTGCCGCCAAAACCTCGTTTCTGCTGCCACTCTGCTCCCCCATTATCCACTTTCTCGTTCTCCACCGCTTTGCCCTTGTAGTTTCTGCCTTGCGGATTTTCGTAGCAGTTTATCGCCTTATGCCCCCTCTTTCCACACTGGTAGCACGCTCCAAACGCCTTCATTGTATTCACCAAAGCCGGCCTCTCCTCGTCGAATTCATTAGCTGCTGCTGCCGCTTTTTTTTTTTTCTCATCTCCTTAACCTCTCAAGCGACTGTAGAATCTCCTGCAGCTTCATCAGGTTCTCCGGTGGTTGATACGTGAACATTCCGAAGTCGGATTCATACTTCTTAGGAAGTCCTTCGACTATGTAGTCGATCATCGCTTTCTCCGTCTCCGCGGCTCCCATCACCCGCAAATCGGCTTTGTAGCTTTTTGCCCTGTTGATGTAGGTGATGATTTTCTTGCCTTTCTCCATGCCCAGCATCAGCAGTTGCGTCCTAATCGCCTTCTTGTTGGTATCATTCGTACCCATGTATGTGGATTCCAGGTACTCCCACGCTCGCTGTGCAGAGTTCAGCTCCCCTGCAAACTGGTCCAAATCCACCGCGATTCCATCGGCAATTGAGTGACAAAGCTGAAAGAAAGCTTGCTTACCGTATTTACCCGTGTAATGGACCCCCCAAAATTATAGACCCCCGGGTCGTTAAATGGGGGTGGGTCTAATGCTATATGCACTTTCATAATAAACCCCCCTTTTTGTAACGAATCCGGATTAGACCCCCCACACTGTATACGCTTCAAAATTTTAACGAGAATGTAGGAAGCGAGAAACTACTGCCGCGAAATTTGACTGCAAATTTTGACTGGACTGCAGAATTTGACTACGCGCGTGCCTCGCGTCAGGGTGTGGTCAAAAGTTTCGTGATGCAACATTGAAACTCTCGCTTCTAGTGCTGGAACAATAGTTCTGTACAAGTATTAAATGCACATAAGATTAGACCCAGGATCTATTAAATTTACAACCACTTAATAGCCCCACCCCCCTTTTTTTTCCGGGGTAGGATTAGACTCCCGGGTTTATTACCCGGGTAAAAACGGTACTTTGCTTTTAAAACGCTGCTATTTTCTCCTTTGTATCCGTCGTGGAAGGCGCAACTCCCTCCATCGTCTCCTCGTCGGGACGGTAGTACGGCAAAAGGTCCACCTCCTCTGCTCACCGAATGAACTTCTTTCGTCACACGTTGTAGTTGCTCTCGTTGAAGCGCTGGGCTTCACTGAGCCCGATCGTCGGTTTCGCCACCAAACGGCCACTCGCAAGGGCCTCGAGAAGACTCTTCAACTGCGGGTCTCCAAGACTCAAACTGGAACCCGAACTCGCCTCGTCTCCCATGGCGTAGGCGTGAACGACTCCTCCTCTCCAGTAATTTCACTTAGAGAATTCACAACGATCGACACGCCCGTTCACCAAGCTCTGATACCAGTTCTCAGGCTCGTAAACGCCTTAGTCGGCAATAGTCTACTTGCTATTGCTTACCGTGTTCTCCACGATCTCCCGAATCCAACGATTTGCGCAGCACTGCTTGAAGTTGTGAGTACACACTTCAGCAACTTTCAGAATCTCAATGTTATGATTTCCAGAATGGGTACAAGCAGTTTTTTAGTCAGGCAAGGCACAAAATGCGATTCGTAACTTCACTTGTTTTCCAAGCAATCTCGCGCGCGCCTCGTTTCACCCCGAGTCGCACATACAACCGAACCGAATTCACCGAACACTCCTTGAGCCCGAATCTGGAAATTTCTCGAACACGCCTTGGTCTCGAACCACATTTTCCCCCGTCGATCTGTCGATGCTTCTCCTTCTCTCTCCTAGCACATTTCTTCCCGATTTCTCTCTCGCTTCTCACGCCGTAGCTTCCATTCTTCCTCGTAGGCCGATTTCCACCGTTTCACCTAGAATCATCCACGCGCTTCCATTTCGCCGTCATCCCGCCGTCGTAGAGACTTTCGCCGTAGGTTCCGTGGTTGGGCGAACCAACCCTAACAGCTCTAGCTCTCGCGCTCGTGCTCCTGCTGATTCTGTCGTCACGCGCGCGCTTCTGCCCCGAGTCGCTTCGTTGTCTGCTATCGAGGCTTACTACGCCCGTCACGCTCGAATCGCGTTTTGAGACAGTTCGGATCGAATCGTTCGCGTCGCGTTGATAAACAGCGCACATCCTCACCCTTGGTGCCCTTTGGTAGGAGGAGCCCGAGATTGAGTGGCACATAATCCGTGTGCTGGCCCCACGCCTTGTAGCTAGATAGCACTGTAGAATTCTTGCTCTACTTATGCTTAGAGTCAGCGAAGGGAATCGACTTTGTTGGCGTTACCTGAATTGGCTGGAGTATCGCACAGACACAGACCCAGAGTTGCGACAGAGAATCGCACATCGGTACCCGAAGCCAAGAGCAAGAAATTCAGGCACTTTTAGTGCAATAGCAACGTGGGAACAGAATTGCTGCAAACACAAGCTGCCTAACCGGGAGTGGGAGGACGAGATGACAGAGGGAGGAGAAGAAGGGGTGGAATGAGAACTGCGAAGTCAAAGAAGAGGCGGATGTGAATGGGTGGCAGTGACGAGTGACAGGCGGTTGTGAGTGAAAGGCGGATGTGAGTGGGAGGCGGATGTGAGTGAGAGGTGGATGGGATGGACGATGCTACTCGCCCTGCCGAAGCATCTCCCCATGCGTATGTATGTACCTCCGCATGCCTATGTACCCCCACATGCCCAGGATACGGAACAATGACAATGCGAGGGCAACAGCGGCAGGGAACAAGGAATGCACGGAGGGAGAAAATGGGCGAGGGGGACACTGAGGAAGGGCGAAAGGGGGTGCGATATGAAGAGTGGGTGTGGGGGGAGAGAGCGGGGAAAAGCACTGAGGCAGAGAATCAGGGAGAGGTTGGAATAGATGAAGAAAGGAAGGGAAACGGTGAGGACGACGTTGGGTGGAAGGGTGGAAGGGAGGGAGGGAGGAAGAAAGGGAGGATGGGAGGATGGGAGGATGAGAGGAAGTGAGGATGAAGGGCGGATGAGAGAAAGGGCGGATGAGAGGAAGGGAGGATGAGAGGAAGGGAGGATGCGAGGAAGGGAGGATGAGAGGAAGGGAGGATGAGAGGACGGGCAGATGGGAGGAAGGGAGGATGAAGGGCGGGTGAGAGAAAGGGCGGATGAGAGGAAGGGAGGATGAGAGGACGGGAGGATGAGAGGACAGGAGGATGAGAGGACGGGCAGATGAGAGGAAGGGAAGATAAGTGGAAAGGAGGATGACAGGAAGGGAGGACGGGAGGAAGGGAGGGAGGAAGAGTGTGGGGGAACAAAGGAACGGAGCAAGGGATGAGGGCAGGGAATAAAAGTGCGGCTGCGCTCCATGCGTGCGGGGTTGGTGCATGAGAGAGGTGTGGACCTGGGGGAGTGGCGGAAATGACGGGCGGGAGTGGGGGATTGGATGGGGGGAAGTGGGGGATTGGATGGGGGGAAGTGGGAGATTGGACGGGGGGGGTGGGGGAAAAGGTGGGTGGGAGTGGGGAATGGACGAGTGGGAGTGCGGGAATGGACGGGGGGAAGTGGAGGAAATGGCGAGGGGGAGTGTGGGAAAGGATGGGGGGGAGTGGGGGAAAGGACGAGGGGGAGTGGGAGAAAGGGCGGGTGGGAGTGGGGGAAAGGGAGGGTGGGAGTGGGGGAAGGGCGGGTGGTAGGGGAGGAAAGGGAGGGATGGCGTGGGGGAAAGGGAGGGTTGGCGTGGGGGAAGGGGAGGGTTGGCGTGGGGGAAAGGGAGGGTTGGCGTGGGGGAAAGGGGGAAGCTCCCCATGATACAAGGAGGGGTAATGTACGGGAAAGCGTGAGAAATCGTGTGGAAATAGACAGGGAGGTCGAGCGAGGGGGATGGGGGGTGGGATGAAAGGGAGGGATCCAGGGAGCGGGGATGTAAGGGGGAGTGAATTCGACGGTGCGAAAGTGGCATACGCGAATGCAGCCGCGCGATTGTGGCGTGGCGAATGCAACAGCGCGATCTCGGCAATGATGCAGAGAAAGTCTCGATTTAAGGGTGTCGCGATGTGCTGCTGCACGACAAATCGTGACATACGGAGCGAGGGCGACTTCGCGATGAGCCGCGCGGCTCACAGGGACCTAAGGTTTTTATTGCGATTGTCTGTGCTGTAAATCGTGACCTAAAGTCGACTATGCGGCTGGACGAGTGCGCGAGTGCAAATCTGGCGTAGGAAATGCGACGGCGCAAATATCCCGACTACGGAATGCAGCGTTCGGAAAGCAGCACGCGAGGCACTGCGTGATGCGTCCCCCTCGGATTACCCTTGGCGCCTATAGCTTACGCTTACGATATGGCCACCACGTTTTGCTATAATCTTCACGAGCAAGCTGTTTGTAACTTCCTATCGGCCGCTAGTCCATACCAACTATATTATCCAGCAATGTCGCTTTTTCCGACGCTTATCTAGAAGTACCGTTTGTATTTCGCAATTCGCACTCCCGTGCAATGCGGTATGTCGGCTAGTATGTAGACTAAGCATGTCTAATAGTGGTTCTTAGAAACTCGGGAATAATGGGAGGCGTTTTGGGGACAGGTTTCCACCGCCTGTTTGCTCATGTCCACGCAGGTTGGTGTTGGGCGATTCTACCGTGCGATGTTGGCACCAGGTTGAGGTCGTTGCTACAGTATTTTTGTTTCGCGGGTTGTCACGACCAGCTTTGTGCTCTTCTTCAGTGTGCTCCGCAGGCAACCGGGTTACACCCAACCAAGCTCAGGAAGCTTGAACCAATTTCGTCCTTCTTGGCCCTCCGGTCTTAAGTTGGACCCACTTGAAGTAAAGCAGGCTCAAGCCGACTGACAGGGCTCAAGCCGGCGGAGGGGCTGTTGCCCTCTCAATCTCTCCTCGTGCTCGTTTCCCTTGTCCGCCCGTCCTCCCATTCCTTCTTTCCCCCCACCCTTGCAGGGAGGAGGAGCGGCAGCGTTTCAACTAGGCGATGCAGGCGGCGGTGGTGGACATAGTGCAGGGGATGAAGGAGATCAGCATGGTCATGGCCGTCACTGAGGCGGGGCTGCTGGCGCAAGAGAAGGATGATTCTCATTCTCTCCTCTTTCCCTTGCTCTGTCTGCCTTACAGAGAAGAGGAGAGGCAGTGGTTCAACCAGGCAATGCAATGTTGCTCAAAGAATGAAGGAGATCAGCATTGTGATGGTCATCACTGAGGAAGGGCTGTTGGCGCAAGGCGTGATTGAAGAGGAGGGTGACTCATTGCTCGTCTCTTTCTCTTGTCTTTTCTTGCAGGGAGGAGTAGAGGCAGTGGTTCAATCAGGCGATGCAAGCTGCAGTGGTGGACATAGTGCAGCGGATGAAGGAGATCAGCATGGTGATGGCCGTCACTGAGGAAGGGGGTGACTCATTCGCTCGTCTCTTTCTCTTTCCTCTTGTCTTGTCTTGCAGCGAAGAAGAGCGGCAGTGGTTCAACCAGGCCATGCAAGCAGCAGTGGTGGACATAGTGCAGCGGATGAAGGAGATCAGCATGGTGATGGCCGTCACTGAGGAGGGGCTGCTGGCGCAGGGCGTGGCGGTAGATGAGCTGGAAGGCATGCTGGACGAGCTTCAGGAGCACGTTGAATCGATTGACATGGCCAATGGTGAGGGGGTGTGTGTTGGCTGCGAGGGTGCAGGAGGGAAGAGCTGCACTCGCCCCACGCAGTCCTGTGAGCGCGGGTGGCGGAGGTGGTAATCTCCATGGTGCAAAACAACGAGAGCGGCCATTGCAGCGTCATGGAAGCGGGCGGCTATCTCATCCTCATGCTCCTCCTTATTTCTCTTTTTTGTTACTCCAAAAAAAGAAGAAGAAGGAGAAGAAGAAGAAGAAGAGGAGAAAGAAAGAAAGAAAGAAAGAAAGAAAGAAAAAAAAACCGCAAAGTGTTTTTCTCCCTCCGTTCCCTTCTCCCAGGCCATAGGAGGCTTGGAGCCGCTGCTGCGCTTCCTCAAGTCCTTTTATGCAATCCCCCGGGCACGGGCGGCAGAGGTGGTAACCGTTTTGGAGGCAGGTGGCCAACTGACTTGCATCTACCAACAAACCCTCGTCCCCCCCCCCTCTCCCCTCTCTAACTTCCCTTCTCTCCCCTTCCCCTTCCTTCCACCAGACCTGAAGGCCATAGGAGGCTTGGAGCCGCTGCTTCGTTTCCTCAAGTCCCCTCATGCATTCCTGCGAGCACAGGCAGCAGATCTCTCAGTGTCCTCCTCTCCCCTTCTCTCTCGCCCTCCAGACCTCAAGGCCATATGAGGCTTCGAGCCGCTGCTTCGCTCCCCCCAGTCCCCTCATGCAATCCTCCGCGCGCGGGCGGCGGAGGTGGTAACCACCTTGGAGGCGGTCGGCCAACTGAATTTCATCTACCAACAACCCCTCTTCCCCCTCCTTCTCCCTTCTCTGACCTCCCTTCTCTCCCCATCCCCTCCCACCCACCAGGCCTCAAGGCCATAGGAGGCTTGGGGCCGCTGCTGCGCTTTCTCAAGGCCCCCCATGCAATACTCCGCGCGAGGGCAGCAGATTTCTGAGTGTCTTCCTCTCCCCTTCCCCTTCCACCAGACCTGAAGGCCATAGGAGGCTTGGAGCCGCTGCTGCGCTTCCTCAAGTCCCCTCATGCAATCCTGCTGGCGCGGGCGGCGGAGGTGGTGACCACGATGGTGCAAAACAACGAAAAGAGCCAGCGCAGCGTGATGGAGGCGGGCGGCCATCTGACCCTCATGGATATGCTTCTGAACGATGTTGACATCACTGCCAGGTCGAAGGCTGTGGGGGCGATTTCATGTGAGTAGTATGGGTATGTTGTGGAGGGTGGGGGGTATTGAGGGGTTGGGGGTGGGCTAGTGAGGCAGAGCACGCTGTTTGAGCCTGCTTCCCTTTGTTTCCCCATACCCCACGTTTCCCCCGTTTCCCCCTCCACTCACTCCCCCTTCCCTCGTTCTCCACCCCCTTTCTCCGCCCCACCTTCCCACCAGCCTTGGTGCGCCATAATCCAGAAGGCCTGGCATCCCTTGGAGCCGTCGTTGGCATTAAAGGGCTCACCTCCCTAATCTCCTCCGCTGCTCAACCCAACACAAACACCACCACTGGCACCGACACCACCACCATCACCACCAGCACCACCACCTCCTCCACCACCACCACCAGCACCGGCACCGGCAGCACCACCAAGCTCCTACTTAAAGCCCTGCATCTCATGCTCTATTTCCTGCAGCAGTTCCCCTCAGACCGCTCCCTGGCTCTCTCCTCTGGGCTGCTCGCCTCGCTGCTACAGCCGGGGGTGGTGGGGTCCCAGGATGGGGATGTGAGGTTGGCAGTGCTGCCACTGCTGCAGGATCTAGCTCCTGATATGACTGTTGGTACTGCCTCTTCTGCTCCCGCTGCTGCTGCTGCTGCTGCTGAAACCGCTGCTGCTGCAACGGCTGCTGCTGCTACTGGTGCTGTTTCCATGGCTGCTGATGATGAAGGGGGGAGCGGGCGCAAGGGGGATGAGGTTTCTGAAACTGAGGCGGTTATTGGGGCCCGAATCCAGGCTGTATCTGCCCTGCAGAAGCGCCAAAGCTCAGGTGAAAACTCAGGTGGTTCAGGTGGTGCATTAGAGACGGATTCTGGGGATCTTCAGGACGAGCTGGACGCCTTGCTGGCGACGAGACGCGCTCTGATTGGCCGAAAGGTCGCTGCTGCCAGAGGGGAGAGCGGAGGGGGGTACAGTGGGGGAGCAACGGGAGATGTAGGGGGAGGGGAAGCAGGAGCGGGAGGATCAGGAGCAGCAGGGGCAGCAGCAGGAGGAATGGGCGCTCAACAGCCGTTGATGTTTCTGGGAGCACGATAAGGGGTAACGTGGAGTGGAGGTGGAGGGGTGGGGGGAGAGGTGAGGTGAAAGTGGAGAGTGGAAAGGCAACAGGAGCAGCAGGAGCAGCAGGAGCAGCAGCAGGAGGAACGGGTTCTCAACAGCCGTTGATGTTTCTGGGAGCACCATAAGGGTGGCAGAGGGGAGAGGAGTGTGGTGGGGGGAGAGTGTGGTGGGGGGAGAGGAGTGGTGGGGGGAGAGGAGTGGTGAGGGGAAAGTGGAGAATGGAAAGGTGGCTGTTTTCAAAGGGGAAAGCGGAGGGGGGAGCTGCAGGTGCTGTTGGTGGGGTGCAAGCAGGGGAGGAAGCAGGAGCAAGAGTAGCTGGGGCAGGAGGAGCAGTAACAGGAGAGAATTCTGAATGGTCGCTGATGTTACTTTGGAGCATTGCCGTTGAGGGGAATATGAGGGAGGGGTGTTGGGGAAGGTAGCATAGCATACGCAATATATTTTGGGTGAGGGTAACAGTAGTCTTTTCTTTCCCTTTTGCGTCCCAGAAGTCTTTTATTTGTGCAAAACACGCAGAGGCTTGCTCTGTGCAATCAAGATCTGGAATACAGTAGTATTGACATTACTGACCAACAAAATTGCCCTTGATGGCATTACAGCATAATCATCTAACTGCACACTTACTGAAATAATATAACCACGATTTTAATCTTTGCGTAGGTAAACTAGATATAAACTCGTGACTTAAAAGATAATAGGGGGAACACAGTAGAAAGGATAATGTCAGGTCAGCAGGAAGTCGAAGCGAACAAATCGAAATTGAGATGTGGCGGGCGAGACAGTACCGTTAAGGCACGGTAACCAGCAGTAGATACTTAAGCAAGAAGGCATGATAGGAGCAGTGCGTGAGTGTTTGTTTTCACACTTAAGCTTAAACCTTCTTACTCCACTGTGAGTCACTAAGCGAGAGGAGCCAACCAGCGCAAGCACTCAAACCAGAGCATCCATTCTGAGTGTGAGGATCTAGGACCGAGCTCAGAAAAGAGAATTGTAATTGAATGATTCACCTGGGTACAACACGAGGCTATATATAGTCTCGACACAAGGCCAGTTACCCACGTGTTACGCGAATGTTCTGAGGGTCGCGAAGAGTCCCGAACAGAACCTTCCCGAACTCAGTAGAAAGCAATTCGGTGGAAACCGAATAGGCTTGAGTTCAGTACACGTAACCTGGTTCGGTGCTATAACTATAATAAAATATAGGAATGCACCTAACATAGGAAATCAAGCATATCTATGCATGATAAATAATACCCAAGCTAGATATAGCGTAATAAAGTCTAGGCAAGCTAGCAAAGCCAGCATAAGCCGTCGTACTCTCACACGTCCCCCCCTCAAAGCTGGGTGGCGTGAGATACACCCTGCTTGACAAGATAGTCCTTGAGAGCACGGCTTGCGTTGCCCATATCAGCTTCTGCAACACAACTGTCCTTAGTGGGGTCATATCCCTTGCAGCGTATCAGGAACTCGAGGGTCTTGCCGCCGCGGCGTCGATGAGAGAGAACGCGCTCCACTTCGTACTCAGGTTCATCTTGGATGAGAACAGGTGGTGGTGGCGGTAGCTGCCGTCCCTAAAACTGTTGGTTGGGGTCCTTGTAGGGTTTCAGTAGCTGAACATGGAAAGCGTTGTGAAGCTTCCATGTATCTGGTAAGCGCAAGCGGAATGTAACTGGTGCCACCTGTGCCTCAACGAGAAAAGGACCAGAGAAGCGAGGCTGGAGCTTGGAAGGTAGGTGAGACAGGTTCAAATTGCGCGTGTCAAGAAGCACCTGATCTCCGACTGCTACTGAGTGATCACGTCGCTGTCGATCGGCATACTGCTTCTGGGAGTTCTGCATCGTGGTGAGACGTCGCTGAGTCTTCTCCCATAACTGCTGCATGGTGGTGACGAAGTCATGTGCGGCTTGGACGTGTGCCGTTGTGGTTGGCTGCTGTGGTGTGAGTGGTTCCCATCCGTAACACAGGAAGTAAGGAGTTTTCCCTGTGGCCGCACGTGACGCGTTGTTGTAAGCGAACTCTAGGGTCGGTAACTGTGTGTCCCAGTGGCTGACGTCGTCTTTGCAAGCTGTACGCAGTAACTGTTCAACCACCTGATTGAGTCGCTCGGTCTGTCCATCAGTCTGTGGGTGGTATGCTGAGGACATCGCAAGTTTAGTCCCCAATAATTCCATGAGCTCCTTTCAGAACTTACTCATGAATTTGGGGTCTCTGTCTGAGATGAGTATAGCGGGGATGCCGTGGATGGTGATGATGCAGTCGAAGAAGAGGCGAGCAGTTGCTTCAGCTGTAGCTGTGGCGTTGGTCGGTATGAAGTGACCCATTTTGGAGAACTTATCGATCACTACGAGGATGGAATCATGTCCCCGCGAGGTCGAAGGAAGTCCTGTGATGAAGTCGAGGCTAACGACCTGCAATGGCTGCTCCGGTACAGGTAGAGGCTGAAGTAACCCTGCTTTTTTCTGCTTGCTGCTCTTCATCCGCTGGCACATGTCGCACGAGGTGACAAACTGCTGCACGTCTGCTGCCATCCCGGGCCAGTAATAATACTTTGCTATTCCCGCTAACGTCCTGTTGCTCCGGAAATGTCCCGCGTAAGGTACGTCATGAAACTCCTCCAATAGGATCTGCCGTAGCGGGGCGTAATTCGGTACCCAAATCTTTCCTGAACCCTTCCTTACAGCTAAGTCTTTCTCCTACTGTAACAGCTTCTTGGTCTGTGCTGTAGCGATCTCTGCGTCCACGGAGTACCCATGTTGGAATAGACCCTTGAGCAGAGGGTTCATCCCGTCGAGCTGGATGCCTGCTACATGACCGGGGCGGCTCAACGCGTCTGCCTTGTTGTATAGCCTGGGCTTGTAGACGATGTCGTAGTGGAAGCGAGTTTCCAAGAAGTCCACCCACCGCACCTGTCGTCGTGAGAGCGTCGGCTGCGACTTCAGGTATTTGAGACTGCAGTGGTCAGTATAGACTGTAGTCTTGGCTCCCTCTAGGTAACACCTCCACGCCTTGAAGGCTATAACAATCGCTAAGGCTTCCTTGTCATGGATGGGTTAGTTCAGTTCTGCTCCGTGTAGCTTCTTACTAAGGTAGGCGATGGGCTGCAAACCGCGTCCGTGATCCTGCATCAGTACTGCTCCGACTGCTTGGTCACTAGCGTCTGCTTCCACCATGTAGTCCTTGTCTGGATCTGGTAGAGTCCATTTGTAGGGCGTATCCTTTTTCAGTAGGTCGGTCAGTGGCGCTGCGATCTTAGCATACTGCGGCACGAACCTGTTGTAGTAGTTGGCGAAGCATAGGAACTGCTGCAACTCCTTCACGTTCTCCGGTACTTTCCACTTCTTGACGGCTTCGATCTTTCGCGGGTCCACGTGTACGCCCTCGGCACTCACCATGTGCCCGAAAAAATGCACCTTCTTCAGGGCGAAATCGCTCTTCGACAGCTTCACGTATAACTTGTTTTTCCGCAGGATCTCGAACACCTTCCGTAGATGCTCCACGTGCTCCTTCATGTTCTTGGAGTAGATGAGAATGTCGTCCAGGTACTCCATCACGCATTTGTCCAACAGGGGCCATAAAATGTGATTCATCTCCACCTAGAACGTTGCTAGTGCGTTGCAGAGTCCGAACGGCATCAGCAAGTATTCGTAGGAGCCATATCTGGTACGGAACGCCGTCTTGTGGACCGAGTTGTCCGCCATCTTGATCTGCCAGTAACCCGACCGTAGGTCCAGCTTCGAAAAGACTGTTGCACCACGCAGTTGGTCCAGTAGGTTGTCTATGCGCGGTATGGGGTATTTGTTTTTAACTGTCTGTTTGTTCAATGCGCGGTAGTCGATGCACATCCGTAAACCGCCGTCTGGTTTTGGACTGAAGAGGACTGGTGCACCATAGGGAGAGGTGGATGGGCGGATCAGTTGTCTGTCCAGTAGATACTCTATCTGTTTCTTCATGTCTGTCAGTTCGATCGGACTCAGTCGGTATCGTGCACGTGAGACGGGTTTCGCACCTGGTTCCTCCACGATTTTGTGCTCGTGGGTGCGTGCTGGAGGTACGCCTGCAGGTAGGTCGTCGGGCATTATATCCTTGTACTGCTCCAAGACCTCCTTCACTGCTGCAGGTAGCTCCGTACTCAGCTTCTCCTCCTCTGCTGCTGCCATAACAAGTGCTAAGTAACGCGTGTTACTCTCGTTCACTGTCCGTTTGAACCGTGCCAGTATCGTTTCAGGAACGCTCCCTGTATCCGTCCAGCTTCTCAGCTCCACTCGTTTCCCGTTGTTGTAGATGCGCGCCTTCCTGTTGACCCAGTCGATCTCGGGGTTGAACCGCTTCAGGAAATCTCGCCCCAAGATGAAATCTAAACCCTTGATGTTCGTGATCGGCACTGTCGGCTTCCACCTCAGCGCCCCTATGTGCAGCTGCAGTGATGCTTCACCGTGGATGGGAAGTTTCGTACCGTCCACCATCGTTGCCGTGAACTTGGTCTCCTCTGAAGATTCTCCAATTTTATCCAAAGTCCCGCGGTCGCACACCGAGTGAGACGCACCGCTGTCCACCAGTGCCTGGAGGCGTCGCCCGTTGCAGATCACCTCGAGAAGTAGTGGTTTTTGCCACTCCGAGTAACCGTAGATGGTCTCGCTAATAGGATCGTAGGGTACGTCGAATAGATCATCCCTCGGTTCTGCGCTCGAAGCTGCTGACTCCATATCAGTTTCCAACTGAGTAGGGTTGGAAGAATTTATCCAAGGCCGATTCAGCTTTGTCTTGGCCTGGAACCTTCCCTTAAGCCTTTGCAGCTGTGTAGGCTTCTCCTATGGGCTATGGGGAGCGGGGAGAGAATAGTAACTCCTTGGAACGCACGACCCTTTTCAACGCTCCGGAGTGGTTTGCCCAACTTCTCAGGTACTTGAATAATGTCTGAAGGCTTTTTCTTGGCCTCAAAATCTCCCCTGAATTTTTAAAAGGCTTGAAATCCTCGA